GCTCCGCCCGTCACCGGGACGCACTGAGCATCCCGTTCCCACAGCACCGAGAGATAAACTGTGTGTCTCAAACATAGACAATTCTGGCTGTTTAGTCTAGCCAGGGCTGCTGGTAATAAACAACTGCAGGGCGGCACTGGAAAAACATCCTTGTTGTAGTTCCTGCGCTGTAGGATGCGAGTGTACAATGAGATTAAGACCAAGTGTGTAATTTACTAATAAAACTTTCTGATTATTTGCAAAGCCTCTGACTTTGTACATTCCTTTCGACCATGAGCATTTGTGAATCTTAGGTGCTTCCTTCCCCTTAGCTGTTTCATCATACCTTTTCTGTCGCCTTGTCCTCTTGACCCTATGGAACATGATCGAAGAGGTGACAAGGGACAGACAGATGTGTGTACTCCCCCACCAGGGCATGGCTTCCCCATCACATCCATGCTGTGTCCGACAGAGAACAGTAGAGACAGGCACTGCACGAACGTGGCTTTGTCTACTGTGGCAAAAAATGATAGTAATTTAAAAAAAAACAACCAACCAAACAAACAAAAAACAAACAACCGAAATAAAGGTCTAAACGTGTAAAAAGGAGAAGGGATGGTGTTAGAGCCACCAGGCACCACTCGGGGCATCACATCTGCCTGGCTCCAGCCATGGTGACCATCCTGGTGACCTGGCACATGGTGCTGACCCACACCAGGCCTCCTTGCACTGGCTGTTCCCTTTGTGCTTGTCCCTGTGCCAGGCAGCATCCAGCTGACACAGCCTCTTCCCCACGAGGAGGATAAAGCCTCCAGCAAAGCAGTGCCAATGATGGGAGCCTTGGCACTTAGTAGGAAGCAGGGTATCTGTCCAAGTTCTGTGGCAGCAGCACGGGGAGGGAAAGGATATAAAGAGAAAAAATAATGGGGAAAAAAGCAAAAGCAACCCAAAGCACTGAAGCAGCAATGATGGGAGCAGGTTCAGGGAGTGCCAAACTGTACAACCAGTTCCTCTTTGATGTTAACACGGATCTGTGAGAGAGCACTGAAGGCATAGGCAGCTATCCAGGACACCTGCAGACACATGACTGTGTCACTGGTGGCTACTGAAACCCCCAGTTATCCCAAAGAAACTGCTGCAGGAGGTTAGCCTTGAGCCCTAAGCCTGTCCTGGGCTTTGCCCCTGCTGCTAACAAGGCCTTAAACCTGACCTAGGCTTTGCCCTCAGCTCTAACAAGTCATGTGTGGTAT